ATATCTTCTTACAAAGTCTATTGTTTTGTAGAGGACTTAGGTGCCATTTGCCAAGTGAACAGTTACATTATTAACTTCTGTAATTTTTCTGTTTTTTTTTAAAAAGGGAAAAGTAGGGGGGGGGAGAGAGTGGGAGGGAGGGAGAGGTGTCTACAGAGGAACATATGTCCTCTTGATTTCTTTTTTTAAAATATCTTTTAAAATTAATTCCATATTCAACCTCTGCTTCCGGGTTCGGAAAGCCTGCAAATGAAACACTTTGCGACAAAGAACTTCACTGCGGTTACAACGCTTGCTGACAAATGAACTCTTTTTCCGGAGCAACTTCAGCACAAGGTAGGGGTTTTACAGACTGACTTCACAAAAATACAAGCAGAGTTTACTGTCGTGTTCTTTCCCTTTCCTCAGCACCATTATCTACGTTAAAAACACAGATTTTGAAAACCAGTAGAGTCTCTGCAACAGTATTATAAAGATGTCTCCATAACCTTTTGCTTGTGAAAGCATATTTGAACATAGCTTTACAAATGTAAGAATTATACAAGTAAAAACTATGAAACACAGGACGAAGAACTAGGCACCATAAAGTCTGACTTTCTGACCAAACTTATCTTTTGAAAGCAACGAGCCCGCCGAGTCTGGGCACTTTTGTCTGTAAGAAGGCTGCACGTGTCCGCCAGCACTGCTTTTGCTTACCTAATGCTTGGTAAAGCGTGCGTTTTCCTGAAAAGCAACAGGCTTTTTGTTAATTCATTAGCATCACTCAGCAGTGGGAGCATGCAGCCGGAGATTAACCCCCTCCGGCGCTGGGCCAGCTGGCCAGCACGTCCTCTTCGGGGAGAAGCTGTGCGGGAAGGGACGGCCACATTGCCCCGAAACCTCAGAACAAAACACCAGCAGATGCAAAACTAACGTACGGAGAGAAAGGCTGCCTTTTCCACCCAGACTCATGTTCTTGTGCCGATGCATTTTAGGATTTCCGTAGGCTTTAACGCTGGAAGGCAACGTGCTTCGTCCCCCTCGCCTCCCGACTTCCCGCGGCGCTGCAAAGCGGCAGCCGAGGAGCCGTTTGTGCACGCACAGCGCAGACCGGCTCGCCCAAGAGCGCACGTGGCTCGTCCTGGAAAGCGTGCTTTTAACACCGGGGACAGCGCGCTAGCTGCATGCTGCAGTAGGAAACTTGGATTTAACTGTTGCTGGGATTCGTGCTCTTCCTTTGTAGCTTTTAGCTCATTTCTAGAAGGTTGGTTCTCACTGGCTGCATCATTAGGGAAGTCTTGCCTAAAGCTGCCCTTCGCGCTTGGCAAACCCCAGTCTCCAGCACCGCCTCGGCCACCACGGGCTATGTGGGACGTGCCCGCGGCGCTGTGAG